TTTTTAATTTTCAGGTCTTTCACACGATGATTTAATCAAACAGCTTCATTTGGCTTTAATGGATGAATGTAGTTGTGTACGTAAAATGGCATGTGTTATCATTGAGCAACAGGACGTAGCTACAGAAACAGTCATTTTTAATGAATTGCTTAACACTTTAAAGAATGATATGAATGATAACGTTAAAATAATGGCTATAAGAGGTGGGCTATAATAGATTATTTACACTATTTTCTCGAAACTTCCGTAATAGTAACAGTAAATTTTTGAAACATGAAAATCATTTACAAAATTCGCACTCACGATGATGTTTGATCAAAAAATATAATCCTTCGTAGAATTCAATACAGTTTGCAAAAGAAATACGCTCATACCACTAAGAAGCTTAGTTCAAACATAATTAGTTAAATTTAGTTTGATGGTATTTAGATGAAGGATTTTGCCTGAATATACTAACAATCCTATATATCAAGTTTTAAGAGGAGTTATATTGGTAGGGCAGACAATATATAGTGCTTCTGAAAAAGCTTTTATCAATTTTCTTCTCTAGAAAAGGAACGTCTTGTTTTCTTCTCCCGTTTGGCTACAACATTTTTCCAACAGTTTTTTAGTTTATCCTACTATATCATTTTAAATCACTACATATTTCATTCTTAAGTGTCTTCAATTTGTGTTCATTCAGTTAATGACTCAACAGCTGATTTCAAATCCTTCCTTCCTTCATTTCTAATCAAGTCGATGTCCCAAACCATCCTTTGGGTTTGATCTTTAATTTTTACATCTTAATCTTATGAACTTCATTTTAAACTAACACTATACAAAATTAGACTGATAAGTGTATAAATAACTTTTGATCGATTTCATTTCTATAAAGTATGATAAATCTCATTTGAGATTTCGAGATGAGAATGTCTCAGTTTCTAACCGTTTGATTAAAACTTAATGAAATGTCATTTTTTCCCAATCTCTGTTCTTGTTGTTTTCACCTACGGCATTTGTTTGGTCGGCTTTCGAGAAACTTTGATCACTCCAGATTTAGTATTCTGTATAATTTTTTATTTATATAATTCAAGAAGCTAATTACATCGTTGATAATGAATTAATGACTATTCGATAAAGGGAATTTCGTCTGTTATCAAAAACCGTTTCTTTAGGTTATTAATTACTGAAAGTTTTTCCAGGTTGGTGTCACTCCATAAAAGGATATTTAGGGAATTTAGGAAATTTCAGAATGAATAAGAAGCTAAGTAAGTGGAAAGGTTACCCAATGTATGAAGAGCATGAATAATCAGCTACAATATCTCGGTTTACCAGTTTTAAGAATAGTTGCCTTGTTTGTGGAGTCCGGCAATGTTCTTTGTCAAAATCTCTATAAGACCACAAGAGATTAAGAAATATTTGATCTAAACATCATTGAATATCAGCTTCTCAGAAATATCAAGAGAATGGGGGATCACGTGTCGCATTTTTGATTAGATAACTACCCATACCGTTATTATATTTAGAATGCTTCTGGAAAGTTCTCGAGTTCAAAGTCACACAGAAATTTATTAATACGCTCGATTTCCTGTAACTTTAAAATAAACCTGTCACTCGTATTTTACGTCTTTTCTTTATTGTTCAGATTAATATGTAGGAGTAGTCTGAGGTTATAAACAGCTGTAAAAAAGACAGCATCAAGCGTTCAAGTAGCAGACTTATTACTTAAGTAATAAAAGGAATTGTTGTGCCCATTTTAACTATTGATATGTTCCTTTTTTGCACAGCAGTCACAGATGTAAAGTTGTAGCTTTTATTGCTGGTCATGAAGATGGTTTTTCTCTCATGTGAAGCAACAACTAGTTTTATTTAGTTAAATGAACAGATTTTGTTGAGAACAGACATAATATTACTTTTAGAATCGTATTACTTCAGGATTGTAACCTCTTTTGATGTAGACGATTTCATAATCATAATCTTGTTATATGTATTTTAAAAATTATTTGCCAAACTACTGTATGCTAATTCTGGTGACAGATATAAGTAGTATGTAGCACCAATCGGTAGTATAATGCTTGCCAGAAGATGGAATTGAAGAGAACAGGAAAGGAAGTAGATAGCCTTTGGAATAAAAGCGTGATGATTAGAAATGTGAAGCGCGTATAAGACAACTGAAGGAAGATGTGAAAAGAGGATATTTAATGTATGGTCATCATATTTTTTACCAAAGCACTCTCTAATTTCGTATTGATTTTCCTTTCCTAACTTCTTCATTTACTACAGTACTATTTATATAACTTATGGCCTATTAATATATAACGTAATGATACTGCCAATTAGTGAACAGTGAATTATCGACCAGACCAATGACGCATAAAACCCGTACGAGCAGTCTAGAGTCTTTATTAATCCTGCTTCCTGCCTGTTAAGTCCAGAACATCAATCTCAGCCTCCGCAATATGAATCACATACTGAGTTTATATACCAACCAAATGGACCACATCATACCATAAAATTGAAAATAACATTTGTACAAGACTTAGCAAAATGTGGCTGTGAATGTGGGAGATAGTAATTGATAGACTGGGCATAACTCAAGAATGGTAAATGGTATAATAATAATAATTCATAGGTCAAAATAAAGCTTATGATAAGAAAAACACGAATATGAATAGTTTATTTACTTATCAATTATACGATAAAAATATACGTGATAGTATTAGTCCACAAAAAGATGGCAACAGTTACCACTCATTATTCTCATGAGGATATAATAATTATTAAATTATCTGAATCATTAATTATATATTTTAATATTCTTATTCAGCTTTAAAAACAATATCTGATTCTAATAAAGATAATAAAAAATCAGAACAAGTTCAAAATGTTTTATATCATATTATTCAATCTGAATTCAATCCATCTATCCGACAGAAAATATTTCATCTTTTATTATGGTTTATTGAAACACGTTTTATAATCTATGATACAAATGAACATTTAATGAATAATGAAATTGATATTTTAGCTAAAACATTAATTCTCAATGAATATAATTTATTAAATGCAAAAATAATAGATTTTAATGAATTATTTAATATACAAAATGATATGATAGAATATATTTTAAATTATGAAAATCAATGTGTTGCTATGGAGAAAAATTATTCTAATTTATTACGTAAAATATTTATACCAAACTATAATATGTTTATTAATCATAAAGGGAATCAAATGAAATTACAAAAATGTTTTCAATGTCATCTTTATTATTTATATAATTTTTTAAGAAAATCTTTAAAATATGAAAATGTGAAGAGATTCAATGGTAAACTAATTTATAACTTTTATAGTTATTCATTTAATGTTTATGATGTATTTTGTAGATAATATTAATATATTTTAGGTTTTCGGTAATCAAATTGTTGAGACTATTATATATATATATATATATATATATATATATATATATATATATATATATATGATGGGTAATGGGATAAGAAATGGACACACACCTACGCGCTCATATAAAAACAGTCAAAATTGATAAGCGATTAAATAACAAGGTCAGAATGTGACTCAAGTAGAATGAATAGAATGGGCTGTCCGAAAACTAGAATAAGGTATGTGGGTTTAACATGATAACCGACACTACACACTACCAGGTGAGTTTAAGTTTCACCTTATTGCACAAGCAAGTGGCTATCAAGACTCAGTAGCTGAGTAGATAACGTTATGGCGTTTGAAGTGAATGGTACCGGGTTCGAGTACCGGGGTGAATATGAACTCTGAGATGCGGATACACCCAGTTGACGAGTTCCAAATAAGACGAAATGCACGTCTTGGATTCCAATGCTAGCCACTATCCATCTTTACATATTTCATGTTGTATGTAGTACGATGAGTGACGGATTTTGTATTATAATAGAGTTTTATTATATTAGAATCCTTGGGTAAATAAATGAAGGATCAAATGGCTGTAAGTATCCTAGATTTCTAGTATTGATTGGTTGGATTTTATTATTAATGTAGCATATCCAAGATGCAAACATCAATTCAGTATTTATGGTAGAATATTTTTATTAGTTACACATAGGCCATCTTTTGTCTTATCATGTCTTGAATTCTAGATTTAAATAGCAGATATACTTATAGATAGGTGTGAATACTTAGATTTAACCTTTGTTCCTTTTAAGATGATAAGAATTATGTCCTCCAACTTTGTAATTATAATATGTTAATGAGAACTGTTTGCTAAATCTAAACTAGTGTTTTACAACTATTACATCTAAATCAAGTGAGATACTTCTTTGACTGAGTCAGTATCGTATTTTAAGTAAATAACATGGGAGTGCATCTCCTTACATTACTCCACTGCCTTGTGGATCAGACTTTTAGGTCGAATGCTAGGGGTGTGGCCGCCCAAGAAAACCACCTGCTTCGATTTCGGTACACGGGCAATATCACAGCCCATACACAAATTAAGTGACTTGTTTGGCGCATACCTATTCGGTACTTCTTTGTACCAATATTTATATGTTCAAATAAATATAATAAATAAATAAATAGAATAATATTACACCTATTATTATTTCCCGTTGTTTCTTTAACTGTAAATATGAAGCATATACTTGTTCACAACTTGAGATGGTGGAGAAGATTTGTAGCTCAGGTGGATGATTTTGATGGAGTTTTGTTCTCTGAGCTGGATGGTTCGGTCGTGGAGCTTTCATCGTGTTTCTGAACGACATCATCAGCACAAACTTCAATCCTATGCAAACCAAAGGATAAAATAACAAAGGAAGACAAATCAAACATCATCTACAAAACAAATTGCGACAACTGCGAAAAACACTACATCGGACAAAGCGGACGCCCCCTTCATCTTCGCGTACATGAACATCAGTTAGCAGTCAAACGCCATGAGACCTCCTCACTTATATCGATACACGTGGACAACTGCGGAAACTCATTCGAGGCGGTGGAGAAGATTTGTAGTTCAGGTGGATGATTTTGATGGAGTTTTGTTCTCTGAGCTGGATAGTTTGGTCGTGGAGTTTTCATCGTTCTTCTGAATGACATCATCAGCACAAACTTCATTTAGAAGTGAAGTGTTCGAATTTCTCCATATGTGTTTCACAGCTTGTTCTGTGCACCTCGATGGTGATTGGTTCTTATTGACCTTAAGTTTGTCATTGTTTACTACTTTGTTTGTGTGTGGTTGTGTCTCCCATTGGTTTGATTTTTGTTCCTATATTTGTGCATGATTTTTCTGATTGGTTGGTAAATTGGATTGATTTCAATGTGCTTGTTGATTGCTGATTGACCTGAGTGCCAGGCTTGTAAAAATCCTCTGCTGTTTTTGGGATTTCCTCCGTCTAAGATTTTCACATTTTTCCAATCGAATGAGTGTCCGGAGTTGTCCACGTGTATTGATATAAGTGAGGAGATATCATGGCGTTTGACTGGTAATTGATGTGAAACACATATGGAGAAATTCGAACACTTCACTTCTAACTGAAGTTTGTGTTGATGATGTCGTTCAGAAGAACGATGAAAGCTCCACGACCAAACCATCCAGCTCAGAGAACAAAACTCCACCAAATTGTCCACAACTCATTCATGAAAAAATATAACAGTTTTATGATCATAATTTACATAATAAATCACATTGTTGACACTTATATGATCTACATTAATAGAAAAAAAGTTATTTAGATATCTATGAAACGTTATTTTTATTTTTTCTTTAAATTAAATTTTTTTAGTGAATTATCTACTATGATAAAACCATTATTTGATCAAATATTAAATGAAGCAAATAGAAATGCAACAGAAAATTATTATTATTCATATCATAATGATACAGATTTATTAAAATTATTAATGAATGAAAAATGTAATGATATAGTGAAAATTTGTTATGATATTATACAATATTCTTAAATATAATAATCAAAGTATACTGTTTTAAATTCCCCACCTTTTTTTTCTTTATTATTTTGTATTTGTTACTTATCAATGATCATTGTCAATCGTTGAGATCATAAGTTTCAATCGACTTATGATCTCAATGATTGAAATTATTATTATATCCACAAAAACCTCTTCTGATACTAAACATTAGTATATGCTCACTAGTAACTGGCTTCAAGAGGTATTATTGAAGTTCTAATGAGAAGCAGTGACCAGTGGAGTTCAATCGGGTCTGTTGTTTGATAGTAACTCATTGAACACAATGGTGTATGTGTCGCTCAATTCCATGGATTAGTTGAAGTTAGACATTAACATCGTTGGATGCCGGCTGGCTCATTGGTCTAGAGGTTAAGTGTTCGCACGCGAGACTGATAGGTCCTGGGTCCGAATCTCGGGAGGCAGGATCGTGGATGCGCATTGCTGAGGAGTCCCACAATAGGACGAGTTGACCGTCCAGTGCTTCCAGATTTTTCATAGTGGTCTAGTTTCCATTGACTCATAACCCCAACTATTGAAATTACTATAATATCCACAAAACCCCTTCTGATAATAACAAAACTATTGTTCAAGTACAGGTATATATTTTTATTTTTCAAAGAATAATTACTATTACTGGACATATGAACAGTTCCAAAACGTGACACTTTAGTGGTCCTAAATCTGACTTCAATTTGATGATCGTGTGCTGCTTGTTACCGAAATATACATATTGTCAATCCTCGTATATAAGCAATGACTTAACTCTCACTAGTGTACAATAGAACTGAGTATGTCACAGATGATAATGAATTTCGAATATGCGTATTTTATACGATTATTGGATCGGATAGTGAAGGAAAATGAAATGATGCTCAATGGAGGAAAAGAGTGAACTAATTCAGTTTAATCAAGCGTTAATCGATATTTGTAGCCAAACAAAAATAAGTTACAGACATGTGATGAATGGGATAAGATGTGTACATACATACGTTTATATAAAAACAGTCAAGGTTAATAAGTGAATAATTACCAAGGTCAAAATATGACTCAAGAAGGATGGCTTGTTCGGAAGCTAGAATATGCTATGTGGGTTTAACGTAGCAACCGACAATACAATACCTTCAAAAAAAAACCCTAGAGTTAGGAAATTCATTTGTAAATGATTTGATATTTTCTAGGTGAATGTAATTCTATTATTGTTAGTACGTTAACTTTGTAAGTTTATCAATAGTTTGTTTCATTAAGCTGTATTATAATGTGGTTTAAAGAATATTCTACTCTGAAGTGAGTAAAACTCGATTAGTTTAAATTGATACTGGTCAACAGAAGTTTAAATAATTGTCTTGCTTTGGGAACTCAGTGTTATTCAAGTGTTATCAGTGTCAAATTTGAATTGAAGCTAAACTTGTAGTGAACAGAACACGGATGGGGAAAATCGAATTATATTAAACACCACATTACAGAGTTACTTGGTAAAATGGAAAAACCATATAGTAAATCGTTAACTTGCAAAATATCAATCCATCATATCAAACCGGACTATTCCTGTTGCAATCATCAATCCATTGTCTCACATTTCATTGTTCATGCGTTTTCTTACAAATTGCATTGTGTTCCCCCTCTTCCTTTCTTGATCTTCCCCCCATCTTCTGCTGCCAGACATTAGGTTTTTAACTCGCGTCATATACTACTTATATCAATATAAGTAGCACGCGCCACAGACTTACTATATAGCTTACAATAAAATGGACATGGTTTATTCAAATTTTGTAGTATCCATATACAAATCCAACATGCAAACTTAAAGAACTTTATTCAATATTTCAAATACAGACGTTTAGAAGTATTATCTGTACTAAGCGCTAGAAGATTGTTTATTAATAATACAACCTTCTCAAACAAAATCCCCATATCTGTCATGTAGACAGTTATCTCACATAGTTCACACCCCCTATCCTTCTCTAAACGCTTGATCATTACACAAACTCCTTTTGATATTTTAAACCTCGAATTACCTCATGATGCTATTTCTTCCCCCATACTATGGACTTATATATTTATCAAACTATAGCAACTCTCCTATAATTAGTTTTGTTTACGGTTAATTTTGTCAAACCCTTCAATTAAATTACTTAACAGACAATGTTATTCGAACAGTAACAATTCGTCTATTTCTTTGCACTATTATGATCACTATCTCGTCTGTATAAATGTGTATGTTTGATTACATGTGACAGCCTACGCACATATCTCTGGCTTAAATGTTTGTCCCCTAAATATCATTCTCTTCCCTATATATGTATGTGCTTGAATCTTATTAAGTGTCCTTGTCTAACTTCGCTTCGCCTCGACTAGATTTGACTCTGAATCCGCCTCTGCATTCACTTGCGCGTGCGCATTAGCCTATCTGCTCAAATTCACTCAAGATGCTTGTATCTTTGTTATGTGTTATCCAGAGTTAATGTAAACTCTGGGACTCAAACCCAGCACCGTTTGATTTAAACACCATCGCGTTACTTACTTAACCAATGGGTCCAGATAGCTACTGGCTTGTGTAATGTGGTGAATTTTCTTCAGTTTGTGTTAGGTATTTGAACCTTATCGTTGGTGTTTGGGACTGCAATTTTTCAGTATCTTTTAGCACACATGCGAACTTTATTAATCCAGCTGATGATTTCCAAATAGGAGAGAACACATGTCTTGGATTCCACTACAAGTCACCATCTAACTGTGCTTATAGTGCATATAACTGGATGAAAATTTCGTGCTAATCTTCAGAGAATACACAAAAGCCCAAAGAAACTAATTGGTTAGGTCCTAGACTTCAGCGAAAAGATTCAACTAACCAATACAAAATGTTTTCTAACTTGATTTACGAAATAATAATACGGACTTTCTTTTCCTATAATTATGTTTATGTTTTAACGGTCTGTTGATAAATCATCGTCGTCTCTTTGCGAAATTTCTGAGTCTCATTATTTGAGCGTGCTTCACCAATGCGTTTAGCCACGTCGTCGACTTAATATGAAAAAACGTCTACAGTGATCGTGGTCTAAATTTGGATACGAAGCATTCGAAATGGTTGTTGAGGGGGAAGTTTAAAAATTTGTTTCTAATCGAAAACAATCGATTTTTTACAATATATTTGCTTGTTCCATATTTAACGCAAACTATTTCCAGTCTGGGCTAGCTTACATTCTTAAACAATCCTTCTTTCAACTTTCTAATAATCGTCTGTAACTCATATTTTGGTGCTTGATATCGTTGTAAATTTTGTTCGTTTAATTTAGCTACTAAATTTATATTTAGTAGCTTGCTAAATTTAATTATATTTTCATCTGCTTTATGTGAATGGTTTTTGTACTAGAAAATTCACATTAATCTTATTCATAAATTAGCTAGATGCTGTTTTTCAAGGGAACATAATCAAAGGAAAGAAGAAAAAAGATATGCATCCATAATGTCACTGAAAAAAATAGACCGCTTTCACACCATTTATTATTATTACGATATTAAAATTCTTTAAAATGGTCATGAGTGGGAAAAAAAGAACGAAGATAATCCGCAAATATTTTTTTAAGAAGAACGTTGATTAAAGCTTCAAAGTACTAGAAATTAAACTAAGTGAGGCAATTATTTGCTTTTATCATAGAAATACCGACTGCAGTTATACTAAAGTAATTTTTTAAATGTTGCTGCTTATATGAATAACTGAAATAAGATTGAAACGGTTCATGTGTTATATCATGACACAATGAGACCGATAAATGTATGTGTGTATGAGATTTTTCAACAAAAATTTCCATTTTTTTATAATCCAAATTAAAATTATACAAGTTTAGTGTTTTTGTTTTAACTAACTCATTATTGAGTTAATTATGATTTTGCTAAGATGAATTAGTTAACAATGAAGTATGCTTAGTGTTCATTGTTACTTTTGGATATTAAAGTGTATCATTAAAACGCAGGTTTTACAAAATACTGTATTCTTCATACAGGTGACATGTCATCTAACTTAACAGTAGTGTATGTGACAGAACAACTAAACCTATTATGATTAGCATGGAAATAGATAACATTAAAACATCAAGACTGAGCATTCACCACAAGTCACGTGTACTTTATTCTAATAAGTTCTAGGAATTCATTTAAAGCAGTCGAAATGATAAGTTTAATTATTTACTTAATTCACAGTCTGAACGATTTTCTGAGATGAATTTTCATTGACAGCAATTAAATGGAAACACTGAATTGCATTTTTGTGAAAGAACATCTGAAGAATAAACCGACGCTTATTTTACATCATGTATCGAAATCAGTTGAAAAACCGCCAATCACAGTGAAGCCTTGATTGTGAAGCTTCCATTGTCTTCTTAGACAAAATCATCTGATTATATTGCAAAAAGACACTATAAGTCATTTAGAACTGACTAACGGCTTGTTCGGTTAACCTAGGATTCTCGAATGTATTGTTCATCATGCCTAATACGGGAGAAATTGGGACTCAAGTATGTCGGAAAGTAGCCTATAGTGATCGAACACTCATATACAATAGCATCAATTTAATGGCGCAAAATCAAAGTATATGCAAATCCTGTTCAAATGAGTGAAGATAAGTTACAGCATTGTCAGTACACGGAGAAGTGAAAAGGAATAACAAATGAGTGTGTTTCTGAAAGATAGCTAACCACAAAACAGCATCAATAAGTGTTTATCAAAGCGATCCCCACGTGCAACATTAACAGAA